GTCTGTGCCAGTGTCGGTGCAAGTGCGGGTGCAAATGCGCACACGAGTGTAAGTGTCAAGTGTAAGTGGTGAGTGAAGTGTAAGTGGAACTGTAAGTCTAAGTGTGAGTGTAATTGTAAGTGACTAGTTATATATATATATATATATATATATGTATGTGTGTAATCGTAAATGTAAGTGGAAGTGCGAGCGTAAGCGAAAGCGACAACGTAGCTGCGAGTGTAACTACAACTGTAAGCGTGTCATTGTCAGTGCGAGTGTAAGTCTAAGTGTACGTGTTAGTGGAAGTGCAAGTCGAAGTGTGAGTGTCAATGTACTTGAACATATCACGTGTGAGTGCAAGTGCAAGTGCTATTGTAAGTGTACATGCGGGTATGAGATATAAGCGTGGGTGTAAGCGCAAGTACGTGTAGGTGTAAGATCAAATGGCAAGAAAGTACACCTGCAACTGAAACCACAAGCGCAAGTCCGACTGTAAGTGGAAGTGCACATGCAGGTCCGAGTGCAAGCGCATGTGTCGGCGGGGCAATGCAAGCCCAGTTCAAGCACAAGTGGAAGTGGAAGGGAAAGCGGGATCGGAAGTGCAAGTGGAGGTGCAAGTGGAAATTCAAATGTGAGAGTGGAAGCGGAAGTGGAAGTGGAAGTGGTAGTGGGAGTATTCGCGCCTATGTCAATGTAAGTGTAAGGGGAAGTGCAAGTGCACGTGGAAGTGAAAATGGAAGTGTAAGTGTACGTGTAAGTGTAAGTGTAAGTGTCCGTGTCAGCGGCAGTGTAAACGCAAACGGGTGTGTCAAGGTAAGTGTAAGTATAAGTGTACGCGTACGTGTTAGTGCGAGCGGGTGTAACCGCAAGTGAAAGTGCAAGTGTAAGTGGGAGCGCAGCTGTAAGTGTGAGTGTAAGCACAAGTACATGAGCAAGTGTAAGTGAAAGTGCAAGTGCAAGTGGAAGTATAAGGGAAAGTGTAGGCGTAACTGTACGTGCCAGTGCCAGCGTCAGTGCAAGCGTAGTGCGAATGTGACCGAGGATGGCAGTGTCAAGTGTAAGTGAACAGGTAAGTGTAAGTGGAATTGTGAGTGTAAGTGCAAGTGTGGGGGTAAGTGTACGTGTCCATATGTGGAATCGTATGTGTAAGTGTAAGTGCGAGCCCAAGCGAAAGCGAAAGCGTAGCTGTGAGTGTAAGTAGACTTGCAAGTGTAAGTGTCATTGCCCGTGCGAGTGGAAGTGTACGTGTTAGTGGAAGTGTATGTCAAAGTGTGTGCGCAAGTATAATATGATACGTAAGTTGACTTGCAAGTGTAGGTGTACGTGTAGGTGTCAGGTATAAGTGCAGATCTAACGCAAGCAAGTGTAAGTGCAAGTGCAAGAGTAAGCGGAAGTGGAATTACACATGCAATCCGAACCACAAGTGCAAGCGCCAATGTAAGTGGAAGCGCACATGCAGGTCCAAGCAGAAGTGTAAGTATCGGCGCCACTGCGAGTGCCAATGCAAGTGCAAGTGCCAGCACAAGTGGAAGTGGAAGCGGAAGCGAAAGCCGAAGTGGAAATGGAAGTGGACATGTACGTGGAAACGGAAGTGGATTGGAAGTGGAAGCGGTCGCGCGAGTGCAAGTGTAAGTGAAGGAGGAACTGCGCGTGGAAGTGGAAGTGGAAGTGGGCGTGAAAGTGGGAGCGGGAGTGGCAGTGGGAGTAGAAGAGTAAGTGTAGTAAGTGTAGCAAGTGTAAGTGACAGAGCGCGAGCGTGCGCGCGTGCGTTTTGTGCGCGCGCGAGCGTTTTTTTCCCCCCGCCCCGCCGCTGCGCGCAGGGCCATAACGTCAAAGAGCGCGCGTGAAAGCGAGCGAAAATAAATTCGCGCGCGCAGGCGTTCCTCTGCCCTGTCGATGAGCGCAGGGCCGCGACGCCACAAAGTGCGCGCGTGCCGTGTGTGTGTGCGCGTGCAACTGTGTATGCGTGCGTGTGTAAGTGTATGCGCGAATGTGTGTGTGTCCCTGTGTGCGTACATGTGCGCGCGCGTGCGTTTGCTCGTGCACGTGCGCGCGCGCGCGAACGTGCGCGTGCGGGAGGGTGAGCGCGCGCGCGGGAGTGCGCGCGCGAGTGCGCACGCGCGTGCGCGCGCGTGCGCCTGCGTGTACGCCAGCGCGCACGCGCGGGCGTGCGCGTGCGTTTCAGAGTGCGTTGTCGCGTGCGAGTGCATGTGCAATTGCGTGCGCACGTGCGCGTGCGCGCGCGTGCGCGTGCGTCTTAGTATGTGCGTGCGCGCGTGCGCGCGCGTGCGCGCGCATGTGCATGCGCACACGCGCGCGCGCACGCGCGCATGCGCGCGCGCTGGGGCGCCCAGTCGCCGCGCAGGGAGCCGCGGTGCCAAAAAGAACGCGCGCGCGTTGAATCCTTCAGAGGAGCGGCCCGCCCGCCCCGCAGGTCAACCCGACAACTCCAGGCAAGTGCATGGCCACCTCCGCCCCGCGACCGATGGCACCGCTCTGGGCGCTGCGCCGGCGGCCAGAGGGCAAGCCCCAGCGCCGCGGGCGGGGGCCACCCCGCGGCCGCAGCCAGCAGCACCCCGACTGCCGCCTCAGCGGCGCGCCCCCCTGGGAGCCCTCGCCCCGCGCCGACCCCGCCCCCCCGGGCCTCGTTCCGACATGGCGGCGCGGCAGCGCCGCCCAGCGGCCCTCCACTGTCGCAGAGCCCACCTCGGGCCCTCCAGCCGATGCGACGCGCCAGGACCCCTCGCCACCCTCTTAGCCAGCTCCCCGCAGGGCGCCGCAGACGGCCACGGCGGGCCCCGCCCTGCCCGCCGTCTCAGCCCACGGAGGACAGCCACGGTCGCGCCGCAGACTCGACGCAGGACCCGGTGCCCACGGAGCCGCCGCACTCGCTGCCCCCGCGCCGCCCCCCGAGACCTGCTGCGCGCCGCCGCCCTCGATTGGGCCCGGGCCGTCCTCCGCCGGCATCGCGGAAGCCAGGCCCCCGAGCAATGCATATTCCCCGGCTGGAAGCGTCGGCGCCTGCGCGGGGGCAGTCGGCGACCGCTGGGCTTGCGGGCTGGGGAGGGGGGGCGCGGGGAGCACTCGCCCCCCCCCTTCCTCGCCGCCAACTGCTGCCCCCTCTGGGCGGCGCAGGGAGCACCCATCACCCCCATCGCCCCCGCTGTCGGCGGCCGCCCGGAGATCTGCATCTCCCCCAGCTCGCAGCGATGGTCGCCGCGCTCCACGAGAGCCGCCACCGCGCGGAACAGCTGCCGCACAAGCGCTTCGCGATGGTTGGGGGCGCGTCTCGCCCGCGAGACGCGGATGCAAAAACTCTGGACACCGGGAACGGCGCGGACGACCGGGCAAGGCAGCTTGCGCCGCGCGGCCGCAAGCGCGCCAGGGAGGCCCGGCCGCGGCCGGCATTGCCAGGGATCTGCTCGCAGGCCGCGTCGAGCATCGCCACGTCCACTCGCAGCTGTTCGCGCGCCGCCTGCAGGCGCGCAGCCCGGCAAACCGCCGCAGCATGCGCGTTCAACTCTGGCGCCAGCCGCGCCCGCTGAAGCTTCGGTTGCCGCTGGAACTGTCTCCAGCTGCACTGGGGCGGCCCCTCTGCGCGCGCTTGGCGCGCTCCTCGGACTTGACGACGTCGCGTCTGTTCGGGAGCTCGGCGTCGACGCCACGCGTGACCAGACCAAGCAACGGCGAGGCCGCTGGCCGCGCTGGCCGCCTCAACGCCCAGCCGCACCCCGGCGCAGCTGGCCCACGGGCGCCGCGCGCACCCAGGAGGGGGCGGCCACGGCAGCTGCTCGAGCCCGGCGAGCGCGCGGACTGCGGCGGACCCTTGCTGGCCGGGCTTGTCAGCAGCATTGCGACTGGGGCGCGCGGCCAAATCGCCACGCCCAGCGCGACCCCAAGGCGCCGCGGGACTCGCCTCGCCAGGGCCGCGGGCATCAGGGAGTAATCGATGATCGACCTTGGCACGCTGGCGCGGCAGGCGGGCCCGCGCGGGGCGACGCACTGGCCCTCGTCCAATCGCAGCCTGTCGACCGCAAGCAACGCGTCGGGGGCCAGCTGGAAGCCCCCCATGACGACCCTGTCCAGGCCCATGATGTCGAGGGCCCTGAAGTGTTTGACGACCTTCCAGCGTGCCTAAGCACTCGGGGGACAGACCTTGCCCCGTGCGCAGATAAGTCGCAATGACCACCAGCCCTCCTGTGGCGGCGGCGCGGAAGCGGCACGCAATGGCCCCCCATGGCTCCAGCGCGTGTCCCCGCATATCCGGCGGCGCCGCTGGGCGCGCGGCTCGGGGCGAGCACGGCGACTCCGCCCTGGCTGCCGCTGCCCACGCCCGAAGGGAGAGCGGCCCCCCAAATGCCGCGCCAGCCGAAGTCGAGCGCCGAGGCCTGCACTTCCACCGGCCTTTCCTCCACCACGTGGTGCCCCTGGACGGCGAGAATCTAATTGGGAACACACATGGTCGGGCACTCAAGCAACGGCCCCTTTAGAGCCAGCGCTGATGGCTGTGAGTTCGCAGGGATTGGTCGCAGACATCATCGCCCAGTCGAGGATCGCAGCCCACGTTTCGAAGTGGCGCTCGCCGCGCCTGAACCCCGCGGCTTCTCGTCACGGGGCAGCTGGAGCCCGCTGGCGGCGATGCTCTAGGCGGCAAAGATGATTACTTTGTCGTCCTGGCCCTCGGCCCCGCGGCGCCGGGCGCGCGCGAGCCACTCGCGAATGGCCACGTCGGCAATGTCCAGCTCGGGGAAGGGAAGGGCCGCCGCGACCGAGGTGACTGCCGCCGCAGTTGGCTGCGCAGGGCCGTCTGTCTTGCGGAGCGCGCCAGCGGCGCCGGCTTCGATGGCCTGGACAGCAGCTGCGGGCGCAGGGTGCTGGGCCTCCTGGGCTACCGCCGCCTCCTCGGCCTGAAGCCCAATGAAGAGCGCCTGCACCTGCTGCCTAAGGGGCTGGCCTGCACCGATGGCGCCGAACAGGGTCTCCATCTGCTTGATGGAGACGTCCACGGTGGGCTGAAGCTGCCCCGCCCCTTTGACCTGTAGTTCGGGCGGCGGTGGGCATGCACGCAATAGGTCAACCCGCTGCTTCTGCATCCCCAGGAGCTCCACCTCCAGCTCTGCGACCTGGGCTTCATGATCCTCAGCGACGGCGCCGGCTGCATTGGCCTGCTCGCGCTTCTCCTCCGCCAGCTTCTTGCCTTTGTGGATATTGGCCTGGACCCGCTCCATGGAATCCGAAATGCTCTGCAGCCGGGTGGCAAGCGACTCGGCCTGCTGCATCTGGGTACGGATGCGGTCTCGCTCGAGTTCGTCAAGCTCGATATGCTGATTGCTTGATGCTGCTCGAGGGTGCGGACGCGTTTCTCCACCTGGGCGAGCCTCTTCTTCAGCTCAGCGGCGGCTGCATCAGCGCCAGGTTCGGCGTCTCCTCCGATGGCGACGTCGGCCGCGGCGCGCCCAGCTTGGCCGTTCGACAGGAGCTGCGCCTTGAGCGCCGCAATCTCGCGGAGCGCTGTAATGCACCCAGGGCGTGGGTCCCTCAGCACGCGTGCTGCCCGTGCCCGCCTCGCTGGGCAGCCTTGCGCGGCCGCTGCGACCCGCAGAAAGTGCGCGCCTGAGCGCGAACCCCATTGCGCTCAGAGACGCCCGGGAACGGACTCCGTCTGGCGGTTCATTGCCTTGAGCCAAACTAGTTACGGATGCGCGTGTTGTTTTGCACTTGAAAAGTGTGCACGGTTTTTGTACAATGTGCCTCCGACCATGTTCGATCGCAATTAGTACTTCCATCTGCTGTTCGCGCCTGAGGACCTTCTGCGCCGCTGACTTTAAAAGTGGTTGTTGCGTGCGAGTTGTGTATGTTGTGTGTTGTAGTGTGTTATGTGTGTTGTGTGTATTGCGTTATGTGCGCGTGTATTGTGCTGTGTTGCGTTGTGTTGTGTTGTGCTGTATTGTGTTGTGTTGCGTGGAGCTGTGTTCTGTTGTGTTGTGTTGTGTTGTGTTGTGTTGTGTTGTGTTGTGCTGTGTTGTGTTGTGTTGTGTTATGTTATGTTGTGATGTGTGTGTGTGTGCGTACGTGTCTTCGGCTGCCTGGTGCGACTGGCGGGGGCGGCCTCGTGAAGTTTCCACGCCGCCGGCCTCCTCTGCCGTCCAGCTGTCCTCTTCGATCTCCTTTGAAACGCCAGCATCTGGACATTCGAACGCCCCCCCCCACATGTAACGCCCCCTCTGCTGGCAAACGATAAAACTAGCGCAGAGAAGCTGCTTTGTTGCGGACACACACACACACGCACATAAGTTAAAATTTGGCAGCCAGCGTGGACCACAAACAATGAGTTATTCCACTGTGGAGATGGAAGCTATACGGATTACGCTATGATGTGTAAGCTATGCAGAACAAACTATGTAGTGTTAGCTCTGTTGTGCACACCTTCCTGTGTGGAGCCATGCGGTCTTAATTTTTCAAAATGTTGTGTAATCTAGGTCGTGTGATCTGTGTTGTGTAAACTATGCGGTGTAAACTATACAGTGCGAGTTATGTTGTGCAAGCTATGTTAACCACCCTGGGTACGGAACGCCCGCGCCCGCAAGGCGCCCACGGGCGGGCACCTGGCAAAACCTCGTCGGACCCGTCCAATTACTTAAGAGACCGAAGTTAGAACCCTGAAGTGTAAGCACTGTTATGGGAAAAAACAATCACGCCGTGTCTGCACAACACATCGAAGAAGTGCCAGTGGCCAGTAGCGCAAGTCCAGATCCGGGCACCGAAAGCAAGGCCTGACACATTTCCAGAGACTTCGTGCTTCAAGGAGCACAAGGAGATCTTGGAAGCCCTGCCGAGGCCATGGCAACGGCGGATGATCGGCCCACGCTGCTCACAGCTCAAGTATGGGATCGACTACAGGACTGATTTACCCCAAATTGACTTTCTCGCCGAATCAACGAAAAATGCATATGACGTTCGCGAGTCTGCGAACATAATACGCATGTTCCGGAGATTCGACGAACAAATCAACTATGGGATAAATCAATTCCGTAGTCGATCCCCTACTCGAACAGCCGCGAAGGGCTGCAGGTCGAACGTGGCGCCAGGCGGGGCCTCCAGCAGACAATCGGTGGGAGGCGCGCGCGGCGCACCTGGTCGCAGCCGCAGTCCGTCTTGCAGGTCTTCGCGCCCATTGCCTCCGCACGCCCCTCCTCCGACTTCCATTGCCTCCTCCTCCTCCTCCTCCTCCTCCTCCTCCTCTTCCTCCTCCGCTTCCTCCTCCTCCTCTTCCTCCTTCTCCTCCTCCTCCTCCGCCGCCTCCTCCTCCTTCTCCCCTCCAACTCCTCCTCCTCCTCCTCCTCCTCCTCCCCTCCTCCTCGTCCTCCTCCTCCTCCTCCTTCGTCTGCTCCTCCTCCGCCTCCTCGTCCTTTTCCTGTTCCTCCTCCTCATCCTCGCCTTCCTCCTCCTCCTCCTCCTCCTCCTCCGCCTCCTCCTCCTCCTCCTCCGCCTCCTCCTCCTCCTCCTCCGCCTCCTCCTCCTCCTCTTCCTCTTCGTACTATCATTCGCATGTCTCTGCTTATTGATCGTATGACTATGAATCATGTGTTATGTGTTTCATGGTTGTTCGTATTATCACCAGCAATATGATCACGAATATTAATGGTAATGCCATGATTATGTGGATTGTTACTATTGCTAAAAGTCCGCTTACTATTACTAATATTCGTGTTAGTCATGTTATGCAACATCATGGTTATTAGTACGATTGGGAATAGTACTAGTATTCGTAGTAGTGGTGGTAGTAGTAGTAGTAGTAGCAGCATCGGCATGCTTAATGTTTAGTACCACGATGGTTCGTATTACGATGAGTCTTCGTAATAGCGAAAGTATCATTATCGTGTTTGGGAAAATTGTTTACATCTGTACTCGTAGCAATATTGCAAGTGTTAACTTAATAAGTTCACTAGTACTAGCATTCGTGTTGTCATAGCTCGTCATATAAATGTTCTTGATAGTATGGTTAGTAGTGGTATTACCCGCACGATTCTTGTTTGGAGAGTAATGGTAAGGGTATGCAAGTTAGTATTGTTAGCCTGGACCTTCTTAATGTACAATGCAGTCGTCGTTGTATTAATAGTAAAGCAGTCGTTATTGTATTAGTAGTACTATCGCACTTATTGCATTATGCTGAATGTGGTTAGTATTAGTATGATTGGTAGTATGAGTCGCGGTATTCCCCGTATGCGTATCAGTGTTTGTTTGCATGGTTGCCTGAGCAGTGTTGGTCTATTTTTCAAATAACATGAGTACTCTTGTGCGCATGATTCTTAGTTGTAGCCTCCTTAATGTTATTATCAGTCGTAGTATTAGTTGGCCTGACTCGAAATACACTATCAGTGACAATAGTACTAAGTTTGTTAATAGTGGCTCCTGTCCCCCCTTTGTATTATGATGTTCAGTAGTCGCATGGATAATGTAGTGTTCACATTCTTCATATTCGAAATATTGGTATTACCCCGTTTAAGATAAAATATGATTCGTAATCGTCTTATCAATTACATTATTCGCTTCAACAATAGTTTTGTCATTGAACGCTGCGCCGTCAGACTCAGTCGCCCATGACTTGGGAGCGAACTAGTTACCTGGGCCAGGAGGGAGAGGGCTTTAACCTGTAAGCATGGAGGGACACCCGCGAATGGTTCGCGAAAGAGCCCTGGCACCGCCCCAGCGGGTGCAGAATGGGGGCAAATAAACGCCCGCCGCGGCCAGTGGCTGCAGAAGCCCGCGCCCAGCACACCTCGCATAAATTATGGAGAAAAACAGAACAGACAGAACAACAATGTGATTGCTATGTCTAGTAGCATTCAAAATACGCATATGGTAATGACTAATCTGTATTATTAATCATCTTCCTCCGCGTCCGCATCCGCATCCTACTTCTCCTCCAGGTCCACCTCCTCCTCCTCCTCCTCCTCCTCCTGCTCCTCCACCTCCTCGTCATCCTCCTCCTCCGCATCCACTTCCGCCTCCGCATCATCCTCCTCCTCACCCTGTCCCTCCTCATTCTCTTCCTCCTCCTCCTCTTCCACCTGCTCCACAACCTTTTCCTCCTCCGCCTCCTCATCAGCATCATCAGCATCCTCCTCGTCCTTCTCCATCTCCCCCGCCTCCTCCTCCTCCTTCATCTCCTCCTCCGCCTCCTCCTCCTCGTCCTCCTCTTCCTCCTACTCCTCCTCCTCCTCCTCCTCCTCCTCCTCCTCCTCATCGTCATCATCATCCTCCTCCTCCCCTCTCCCTCCCCCTCCCCCTCCCCCGCTTCTCTCTCCCTCCCCCTCTCCCTCGCCCTCCCCCTCCCCCTCCTTCATCCTCATCCTCCTCCTCCTCGTCTCCTCCTCCTCCTCCTCCTCCTCCTCCTCCTCCGCTTCCTCCTCCTCCTCCTCCTCCTCCTCCTCCTCCTCCTCCTGATCCTGATCCTCCTCCTCCGCCTCCTCATCCTCCCCTCCTCATGATCCTCCTCCTCATCCCCTTCCTCCTCATCCTCCTCCTCCTCATTCCCCCTCTTCCTCCTCCCCCCCCCCCCCTGCTCCTCCGCTCCTCCTCCTCCTCCTCCTCCTCCTCCTCCTCCTCCTCCTCCTCCTCCTCCTGCTCCGCTCCTCCTCCTCCTCCTCCTCCCCTCTTTCCTCCTCGTCTCATCTGTTTCTTCTTTCATTTTTCCTCCTCCTCCTCCCCATCCTCCGCCTCCTCCTCCTCCTCCTCCTCCTACTCCTCCTCCTCCTCATCCTCTCTCCTCCTCCTCCTCCTCCTCCTCTCCTCTCCCTCCTCCTCCTCATCCTCCTCCTCCTTCCTTCTTCTCCTCCTCCGCCTCCTGTTCCTCCTCCGCCTCCTCCTCCTCGTATTCCTCCTCATGTTCTCCCCTCCCCTCTCTTGCCCTCCTCCCTCCTCCTCATCCTCCTCCTCCTCCTCCTCCTCCTCCTCATCATCATCATCATCATCATCATCAGCATCAGCATCATCATCATCATCATCATCATCATCATCATCATCAACTCATCATCATCATCATCATCATCATCATCATCATCATCATCATCATCATCATCATCATCATCATCATCAGCTTCATCATCATCATCATCATCATCATCATCATCATCATCATCACCATCATCATTATTATCATCAACATCATCATCATCGTCATCATCATCAGCGTCAGCATCATCATCATCATCATCATCGTCATCATCATCAGCATCATCAGCATCATCATCATCAGCATCATCCGCATCAGCACCATCATCGCCGTCGTCATCATCAGCATCATCATCAGCATCATCATCATCATCGTCATCATCAGCATCATCATCATATCATCATCATCATCATCATCATCATCATCATCATCAACAACAACCTCAGCATCAGCATCATCATCAGCATCATCATCATCATCAGCAGCAGCATCACCAGCATCATCATCATCATCATCATCGTCATCATCATCAGCATTATCAACATCACCACCGCCATCAGCATCATCAGCATCAACATCATCATCATGACCACAACCACCATCAACATCATCATCATCACCATCACCATCATCATTAGGATCATCATCATCAGCAGCATCATCATCATCATCAGCATCATCATCATCAGCAGCATCCTCATCATCATCATCATCACCATCATCATCAGCATCATCATCTGCATCATCAGTAGCAGCAGCATCATCATCACCATCATCACCATCATCAGTATCATCATGATGATCAGCATCATCATCATCATCATCAACAGCCTCATCATCATCAGCAGCAGCATCATCATCAACATCGTCATCATCATCATCAGCATCATCAGCATCATCATCCGCGTCCTCATCCTCCTCCATGTCCTCCTCATCCTCCTCCTCCTTGACCCCTCCTCCTCCTCCTGCTCCTCCTCCTCATCATCATCATCCTCTTCCTCCTCCCTCCTCCCTCCTACTCCTCCTCCTCCTCCGCTCCTCCTCCTTCTCCTCCTCCTCCTCCTCCTCCTCCTCCTCCTCCTCATGCTTCTCCTCCTCCTCCTCCGCTTCCTCCTCCTCCTCCTCATCCTCCTCCTCCTTCCCGTCCTCCTGATCCTCATCGTACTCCCCTCCTTCTCCTCCTCCTCCTCCTCCTCCTCCTCCTCCTCCTCCTCCTCCTCCTCCTCCTCCCCCTCATCCTCCTCCTCCTCCTCCTCCTCCTCCTCCTCCTCCTCCTCCTCCTCCTCTTCCTCCTCATCCTCCTCCTCCTCCTCTCCCTCCCCACCGTCTTCGTAGCATTAGTTTTGCTAGTATTAGTATTATTCCCATTCGTATTAGTAGTAGTGTTCTGAATAGTGGTGTTACTCTTGTTATGTGCCGTAGTATGTGTGATCGTCGTCTTCGTAGTATGCGTGTTAGTCTTATTAGCATGGTTCGTAGTCTTCGTCTGGGTGTCATTATTAGTCGTCGTCTTCGTCTTATTCATACTATGAGCCCCCTTAGTATTAGAATTGGTACCCGTAGTATTATTCGTATTCGTCTTAGTCATCTTCGTATCTTCTTGAGGTTGGTAATACTCTTATTAGTCCGAAACGTAGTCTTAATCGTCGTATTTGTGTTAGTCCTCCACCTCCTCTTCCTCCTCCTCCTCCTCCTCCGCCTCCTCCTCATCCTCCTCCGCCTCTTCCTCCTCCTGCTCCTCCTCATCCTCCTCTTTGCCCCCCCCGCCTCTTCGTCCCCCTCCTCTTCCTCCTCCTCCTCCTCCTCATCATCATCCTCCTCCGCCTCTTCCTCCTCCTCCTGCTCCTCCTCCTCCTCGTCCTCGTCCTCTCGTTCCCCTCCTCCTCCTTCTCCTCCTCCTCCTCCTCCTCCTCCTCCTCCTCCTCCTCCTCCCCCTCCCCCCCCCCTTCTTCCTCCTCCTCATCCTCCTCCTCCTCCTCCTCATCCTCCTCCTCCTCCTCCTCCCCGTCCTCCTCCGTCCCCTGCTCCTCCTCCTCCTCCTCCTCCTCCTCCTCCTCCTCCTTCTCCTCCTTCTCCTCCCCGTCCTCCTTTCTCCTCCTCCTTTTTCCTTTTCCCTGTCCGTCTCCTCCTCATCCTCCTCCTTCTCCCCCTCCTCCTCCTCATCATCATCACCATGATCATCATCAGCAGCAGCATTATCATCATCAGCAGCAGCATCATCGTCATCATCAGCAACAGCATCATCATCATCCTCATCCTCATCCTCATCATCATCAGCAGCAGCATCATCAGCATCATCAGCATCAGCATCATCCTCATCATCATCATCAGCAACAGCATCATCATCATCCTCATCCTCATCCTCATCATCATCAGCAGCAGCATCATCAGCATCATCAGCATCATCAGCATCATCAGCATCAGCATCATCCTCATCATCAGCAGCATCAGCATCATCATCATCATCATCATCATCATCAGCATCAGCATCAGCATAAGCAGCATCATCATCATCATCATCATCATCATCATCATCATCATCATCATCATCATCGTCATCATCATCACCACCACCATCATCATCAGCATCATCATCAGCATCAGCATCAGCATCATCATCAGCATCATCATCCCCTTTGTCTTCCTTCTCGTCGCTAGCGACGACGACGACGACGACGACGACGACGACGACGACGAGCAGCACGCGTGAAGCCGTGCCTCGGGAGTGGGGGGCGGCTGGGAGAAAAGGGGACGACGAGGACGACAGGAAAAGAACGGGGGGGACGGGAGAGAGAGGGCAGCGGACTTCCCCACGCCGAGAGGACAAGAAAAGGCGGTCTCACAACCAGCGTGCTGACGGGCTGTGGGGTGATGCGTATTACCCCCCGTGGAGGGGGTAAAGAACAGAGCGCGCTCGCAACATCTCACATCTGGGAGGGGGGGGGGACGGCAGGGAGAGGAGGGGACGACGAAAGAACGAGGAGGGCGGGGGAGGAAGGCCGGCGGACTGCCCCCCGCCCGAGGACAGGAGGGACGCGGGCGGATAGCCCCCCCCCCCCCCCTCCCCCCCCCGCCAGAGGACAGAAAGGGACCGGCGGATTCCGCCCCCCACGCCGAAAGAGAAGGCGCGGCAGAGTCGGGGCGCCGCCCTGCCAGCGGCCCAAGAATATGCAGCCCGCCCCGCCGCCGGCGGCGGGGGAGCCTGATGGGATGCATCCGAGTTGGGATACCGCCCTGCCAGCGGCGCAGCATTTTGACCCTGATGAGATGCAGCAAAGGTGGGATGCCGCCCTGCCAGCGGCGCCGCAATTTGAAGCCCGCCTCGCCGGCGGGGCAGCCTGATGAGAGCCTGACGGTCCCACAGCCAATGGGATGACTGGCTGTGGGAGATGCGGATCACCTCCTGCGGAGGGGAAGGCGCGTAGAGAACGCGGTCGCTATATCTGACATCCTGAGCGGCGCGGAGGAGGGGGGGGAAAGGCGGGGGCAGGCTGGGACGACACGACCGACAACGAGAAGGACGAAGAGGAGGGAGGGGGCGAAAAGACACGCACGCTGTTAAAAAAAACAGCAGGCAAACCCAGAACAACGCACAGGCCGACCTGCATTTGACAAACTCACGCAACGAGCCGAGGCCAGAGCAACCCAACATGCATGATAGCACAGACAAGCACAAATATACACAAACCATGAGGTCGCGACTGCGTCGGTTACGTGTGAAGAAACAAATTCGAATGCCACTGAAATGACATATAGAAGCAGACACCGCAAGATGCATGGGCCAAGCCTGGGGTGGCGGATGGCGTTCTAGCTTACGCAGACAGCCATTTCTGCCACCCCAGGGCCCCGGAAAGTTTTATGCACAGCGCACGTGTGCGGGGAGCAACCTGAATTGGCCAAGCCTAGGGTGGCGCTCTTGCCCACGCAGAGCAGCCACTTCCGCGACCACAGGCCGCCGAGAAGCACTGTAAGCAAGACGTGCGACGTTCAATACCATCAGGAACAGAAGATAGGAGGCAAGAGGCCTCCGACATCAATGAATCAGCAGTATGTAAATACGAGAGCTGACGCCACTGGCCAACACAAGTGTGTCGGAAATCCTGACCGTGCTTGGGCCGAGCTTGGTGTGGCTCTCTAGCTCACGCAGAGCAGCCACCTCCGCCACCACAGGCCCCCGAGGAAATCAATGCCCGCCCTCATTTCGAGGCGCGCCACTGCAGGGAGCGAGCCCGGAAAGTGGTGATGCCAAAGCGCGCTGCTGACGCTGAACTGCACCCGCAAGGCAAGGCGGTGATGGGCTGACCCTGGTGATCATGCTGTGGGTCGCCTCTTGCCAGCCGCTCACTGCGAGGCGCGCCATGTCCATGAATGAACCCAGGAAGACGGTGACGCTGGAAACCTGCAGCATCCTCTCCGCGCTGGGCGGCACCCACATGGACACGTTCGCGATCACCGTGCTGCCAGAACCGCTGGCGCTGGCCGTGAACTGAATAATCTGGTCGCACGCCTCTTCCGGGGCTACGGTGGCCAGGCTCAGGCGTCAACCCTGAGGCGGACCGCGTTGGCGTTCAGCAGCGAGAGGAACGGGAAGGGCGCCCCACTTAAGTCCTCTGGCACCGTGCGCCTGAACGACAAGACTGCCCTTGGGCTGACGTGGTGGGGCCCATGGAGGCGGGAGCCCGACTCGTGGAAGATCTCCGCCATGATGAAGCGCAACTCCACGTCGGAGGCGGAGGTACGGCCATCGACGAGCTGGGTGGTCTTCAACTGCGCCTGGTCCGGGACGTCCCAGCCGTCCACGTCCACCCTCCTCGCCGCTGCAGGAGTCCAGAGCCTCCTGCAGAGCCTGCGACCCCAGGTCCTTCATGGCGACGCGGGCCACCTCGCACCCGGTCCGCCCGGAGCCTGCGGTGCCGACGCTGACCGCCTGCCCGACAGACACACACACATTCACACACACGCACACATACACTGGGTCCACACTTGTTCCACGACTGAACTGTATTGGGTCCCCGCGCTGGCATCATTTTCTGGTCCTCAGCTATGAGTTGGCATCCAGGCTTTTCGGCTCAACATGGTCCTAAGATCCGCCACCGTGCCTCTCGGCACGTTGAGGCGTGGCAGAATGCTAAGTGCTGCATGGCAAGGTTAGTGTAATCTTCTAAGAGACCCCCCCTCCCAGCCGCACCTCGTTGCGCGCACTGGCCACACTCCCATGGTGTCCCTTGGCGGCCATGGCGCCTCCCTGGGGCTCTCCAAGGCTTCCATGACGGCCCAAGAGGCCCCCAAGACGTTCCAAGCGGGCCCCGAGTTGCCGAACTATCGCTCGAAGACTCCCAAGATGGCCTCAACGATGGCGCAAGAGGCTGCCAAGGCGCCCAAGATTCCTCCAAGAGGTCTCCCAAGAGGGCCCCCGAAGGCAAAAATGGTTGGCGCTCTCGCCTGTTCGGCTTTCCGACGCTCCGAAACGGCCCAAGAGGCCCCCAAGACCACCCCAAACGTCCAAGAGGGCCCCAAGACGGCCTAAGAGCGCCCCAAGACGGCTCAAGAGGCGCCCAAGAGGGCCCAAGAGGGCCCCAAGACAGCCCCAAAAGGAGTCCCAGGGAGGGAACACAAACAGGAAATCCGAGCCTTCCGCCCCAAAGAGCACCCAGGAGGCCCCGAGAGGCGCCCAAGAGGCGCCCAAGAGGCCCCCCCCCCCAAGGGGCCTCCAAGAGGCCTCAAAACGGCCCCCAAGGAAGTTCAAAACTGCCTCCAAGAAGCCGCTGAGAGGCCTCCAACGAGATCCCAACGAACATCCACTAAGCATATAACCCCCAACCTAGGCACAGCGGCGGGACTTGCCGCAGGCAGCTGGATAGCCTCGGGGAGCTTATAGATACTCAAAAAAAAGGTCCTGTGAGGTCCCCGAGATGGCGCGAAGACGGCCTGGGACAGCCCGCCCACAGACGGCCCAAGAAGGCCTCTCGAGGGGTACAAGACAGCCCAGGAGAGCCCCTTTGAGATCGCAACAGTCACTGGCCGCTGATGTGCCCCATCGGCTAAGCCGTCTACTTCGGTGCTTCAGCAGCCGCTGCTCGGTACGAGCATCAGCTCCAAGCACATCTCAATACATTGGTGGCCTTGCGCACAGGTTAAAGATGAGGATGAGGACGAGGAAAGGGAGGGGCAAGAGCCGAGCGGGAGGAAGGTGGAGGAGGCAGGGCGAGCAGGAAGAAGGAGGAGGGAGGAGGACAAGCCAGGTGCGCGCGCGCCATATCTGACATCCTATCCCTCCCATCCATCCTTTCCCAATACGGTGATGGCTATCGATCCGCCGACGGGCACCCTTGCGGACCTGGATCCCGCAAATGACCCACTGGTGCACGCGCCATCATACGAGGGAGCTGCGCACATTGGAGGAGGAGGAGGAGGAGGAGGAGGTGGAGAAGGAGGAGGAGGAGGAGGAGGAGAAGGAGGAGGAGGAGGAGGAGGAGGAGGTGGTGGTGGTGGTGGTGTGACGGCGGATGTACAGGAGGGTAAGCAGGAGGAAAAGGAGGAAGAAGGAGGAATGAAATTGGACACTTCGAGTAGAAAGGCTGGGCCTTCCAGCACCGAAGGTTGGAGAGCAGACCCAACACCGCCCAGCGGCACCGGGCCCCCCCTCCAACCACCGTCTGCAACACGGCGCCGCGCGGGCTACAACCAGCCGGCCGCGCACGCGCGGCGGGACAGCACGCCGAATCGGCGCGCCCTCACACAGGCGTTGCACTCAGCGATTCCGAGCGCACGACCTCCTGCGCCCTGACCCTGGTCTTGATGTGCTCTTGCTGGCAGTGTCTGGCACGCCGAGACGTGCAGCCCGCACGTGGAGCTGGAGGCCCTGCGCCCACAGGACGCTCCTCATCGCCAGGAGCACAGCGCCCATGAGGCTGCGCATCTCCGGCGGCGGTGGCGGGAGCGCTCCGACCCTGCTGCCATGGGTCGGAGCCCTGAGCTCTCCGCCTGGGCCCTGCCGCAAGCCGGAACCATCCGACGATCAGCATCGACCGCACGACCCGCAGGGGGCCCGCCTCCGTCATCCTGATCATCGCCTCCGCCGTCAGCCTCGTGGTCCGGCGGATCGGCAGGCGCGCCAGCAGCCAGGGAGCACCAGAAGGTGGCCTTCACGATGCCGTTGCTGACTTTGTGGCCCCTATCTACGGTGGCCCATCCTCGTGCGGCATCAGCGGTAGCCTCGAAAGCACGCAGCAGGTGGCGCCGAAGAACCGCTGCCACAACATCTGAAGCCGCCTGCACCGTGACCAACAGGCGCATCTTCCCTGTCTCCTGCCCGACCACGCTGAAGTGTGAACCACTCCGCGGCGCGCCTGGGGGGGAGTGAAAAGTGGCGGGCCTTCTCAGAAGGCTCAGAAGTCCCCCGGCCTTCTGAGAAGTTTTCCAAGCCTTCCCAGAAGACAGAGAAAACCTTTCAGAAGGCGCGGGGGCTTCTGAGAAGTCCCGCCGCCTCCTGAGACGGCCTTCGCCTTCTCATTGCCTCCCCTCGCTCGCCGCCGGACCACATGGCCAACCAGCCGCTCCGCG